ATACATTTTAAGGTGTCAGCAGGGCTGTGTCCCTCCTGAGGCTCTTGGGAGTTGCCATGGCCAGCTGCCAGCTGCTGGTGACTGGGTATTCCCGGCCCCTGCATGGTGCCAGCGTTGGCCTCCATCTTCACATAACCTCCTTTTCTCTTCCCCTTTCTGTCTGGATATCCCTGTTCTGTGTGACTTTTACAAAGACACTTCTCTTTAGGTTTGGGGTCCACCCAGGTACTTCAGAAAATCGAGGACAGATTTTTGCAAGATCTTTGATGAAATCACAGTTGCAGAGAAAAGCCACATTCATGTGTTCTAGATGTCAGTCAACACACTGTGGGGGGATTGGAGCATGAAATTTGACAGAAACAGGAGTGGGAAACAATAGATAATGAGTTTAAATAAAAATATTGAGGAAGAAAAGTTTTAAAAAATATTTTCTTATATCAAATATGTGCAGTGACATTAAACTAAGTAAATCTCTTACTTTGCCTTGCATCGCCATTCATATTTTCTGTTTCTGCTCTATCTTTTTCTTAAGAGTTAAAAGCCCTACATGTGCACTTCTAAATATCTATCCTAACCTTAGAGCTTTGTTTGTTTTATGGCTAATAGCTTAATCATTAGAAGTAGGGTGGGGGCAGAGTCAGAATGTATATCCAACCAGCAGAAAGGATATCTGACTTCAGAGTACAGAAGAAATTTCAGTCCAGGTGATCATACACTGTTTCATCAATCAGACTTGAAGATTTTCGAGGTCTGTAGTTGCCACCACACCCTCATAATAGTGGTGCCTTCTGAAAAGCCAGGTTTTCATCATTGTCCTCCTGGGTATCATGTCCTACCAAACTACTGTCCATCCTCTACCTCACCCCCTATCAGTAGCTCCTTCTAGAGTTTTCATTCTCCCTCCCAACCCAACCCCACTGCTGCTGCCACCATCATCCCCTCTCTGTCCCCAACTCCTTCAGATAAACTTTTCCAGGGACCTCCTTCATCAGTTCCATCTCTTTCACACTTTCACAGCAGAGCTCGCTTTACATACATCTCCAATTCCGATATTAAATGCAATTTGCAGAGATGTTTCCAGCTGGGTGTGTTCTTTTATTCTTATATGTCCTTTCATTAAGTAGATGCCCTTTCCTATTAAATTCATGTTTTACTGAGGTTGAGAACACTATTAAGTTTGGTGATTGGGGAGGGGTCAATAATGGTCATTAGCCTGGCGGCACTGGGTTTGTCTTCAATGGCAAAAGAAACACAAGCAAAAAGAACAAGTGGAGTACATCTTTTGAATGTTAAGTTCTGTGAAATCAAGGATCCTACAAGCTGTTCATTTTGGAAAAAAATAGGTGTCCAACTACTAGACAATACTGTTGAGGGCCTGATACTTTGGGGGTGTCTTTGGTACTTGAGATGCTGCCTTTCTCCCCAGCTCTCAGGTGACCCTGTCTTTGGGTAGCAAAGCCTTAGAGCCCCCAAGGCCTCTCTGGTGGCCTAGGGATTAAGTCACAGCACTATTACCACTATGGCCTGAATTTGATACCTTGCCAGAGAGCTGACTCACAGATGGTGCAACAGACCTCTCCTGTCTCACCCAGTGCTCCCCTCAGCAGTGTATTTCAGCAGATCAACCTGTTCTGCTCCCCACTCTGTCTCTGGTGAATCCTCTCATTCCCCTACACTTTTGGCCTATACCCTAGTTCTTCCACTAAATAAGTAAATAAATACTAAAAAAAAAATTAAAAAGTTGTATGGCCCCAAACCAGTTTCAAGTTGGGGAACAAGTGAAGTGTATCCTGGTGAGGTGGTCTTGCCGGGCAGCTAAGTGACAGGGAGGGTACTCTTTCCTTCTCACTTAGATCACCTGCATAAGCCCCCACAGGCTACCATACCACTGTTATAAATGATAGAATGCTTTTGACTATCCTTCCCTTCAAATATTTCCCTGCTTTATTTTAAAAATACGTTTTTTTCAAGAGTGCTCTAGGACAATTCCCTGACATCATCAGTGTAGGGATGAGACAAATGCAAACTCTATATAAGACATCTTTTGGCATCCATTTCAGTGCACTAATAACGAGTATAAAAGTAAGTCTTCACTGAGAAGCTTTTACATGAAGATGTTCAGTATACAGCTCAGATCAAGAATTTAGAGATGTGTGCCAATCCACTCTACTGCCTGCTGAGGGCCAGGGAAAAGTGTTGCCAAAGCCACCAGACACAGCCACCTTCCAAAGTGCTACCAGTACTAAGGTGTATTTCATCCTGTTCCTTCTCCACCCACCTTCTGTTGTAACAATGGGAGGTGATACTACCGAATTCAGCTAGAGATGCTAAAATCCATACATCCTTTTTTTGTTTGTTTGTTTTTGAGGGTTGGCACAGTACACAGTATTTATTTATTTTTATATAATGTAATAGTTTATTTTTACATCATTTTGTACATTTTTTTTCATCTCAATTGTAATCCCTGTAGGTTTCCCATCACCGAGACACCCATGTGCCATCACCATAGTCCCATACACTCCCCCACCCATTTTTGATCCCATTTCCCACTACACCCCCAGAAAAAGTCTCTGGTATATGGCTGTTCATTATTCTTATTATTTTCTCACCTGGTCCATTATACTCCTGCTATGAGCAAAACCATCCAATATTTTTCTTTTAAATCCATACATCTTTTAAAAGCAGCATGGTCTAATAGTATTTTCAGCAATGATGGAAATGTGCCAACTTATGCCCTAGTTAATACAGTGTCTGGTGCATGACTACTGGGTGTTGGGATTATGTCTAACGCAACTAAGTAAATTTATTTTTATTTAATTTTAATTAATTTAAAGATTAGTAGCTACATGTGACTAGTAAATACTATACTGAACAGTAGTGAGAAGCTGTAAATTCAGGAAGATGCCTTGCACACAGAGGAGAGCTCTCTGAGGCATACCTTAGGTCTCCTGCACACCTGATAGAAGGAAGAGGCTTCCTGCAGCTGCAGGGCATCTTTTCTTACTGGAGCCTAAGCAAGCTCTCATGAGCAGTTCACTATCCTACAGCACGGCTGTAGTTAAGGTAGATCCATTCTGGCCTTTAAGTCTGGTTTAGAATTTGCTGAGTAAGAGGTTACTGTGGGCTCTGTTGTTTTAATGAGGCCACATGGATTTATGCATATCTTATATTCTGACCTGTGGGCAGAGAATAAGCTAGAAAAGGCATGCAATTTAAAAACTCACTTGAGGGAAGAATTTTTTTTTTCTTTACTTTAGGGAGTTAAGAGGGGAAGGGACCTCGGGATAAGGAAAAAAACAAACAACTGTTAGCCTGCTGATTTACAATGCAGAAATTCCACTATACACTCAACCAGTAGGACAAATGGGTCCATTGCCATCTCTAAACTAAGGCTCACCATTAGCCAGGACCCAGTGTCATGAGTGTGAGCAGATATGGCGAGATTTGCTGAGGTTGGCTTGGCTGGTGATGCAGACAAGGATGTTGGGGTTCCCTAGGTCATCATGGGCACTGGGAGAGACTTGGATGTGAGCTAATGAAAGAAAGCCCACCTCTCACACTGGAAGTCTACCTCAGCTCCTGCCATCTTCTACTAGACCAATCTATGGCAGCTGGATACTGACGTGGTGAAGTAATGGCAGAATGCAAATGAAACTGCTGATTTTGGTGAACATTTTGTAGATGAGAACTATAAATGGTGGTGTGGTCGAATGAGAGTGGGTAATAGCACATTGTAAGAACAATTTAACATCCCCAGTGGATTATAGAACCTTTCACATGTGAGGGGAGCTGTACATGTATTATAAATTTGACCCAGTTAGAAGATAGACTTGCCTTTTCTGGAATTGGAGGTCAGAGGGTATTATGAGACTATCTTTGGTGAAGTTCCTAGTAGCAAAAATGCACCCGTTAAGGGACAGCTTCAGAAGGCTGGAAGGAGGGCTGTGGCTCCCGGGGGACAGGGTGTGCTGAAAAGTCTGAGGCCTGGAATAGGACACACCTGGCAGTGGACAAAGGCTTCTCCACTCAGGATTGATGTGTGATTACCTGGGGAGCTTGTTAAAGCTACAGCTATGGGCCTTATACTAACCAGCGGACACAGAATCTCAGGTCTGGGGAGGGGCTCAAAGTCTCTAGTTTTTTAAATAGAGTGAAGTGACTTTTCTAAGCCTTAGTGCTGTAAAAAGTGATGTAGAATGCATAGCAGACAGGATTATTGTGCAGATTAGAAAAAAAGCAAATAAAGACTTGATTAAGTTATTATTAATATTTGACTGGTAGGACTCTGTCCTTTGGAACTCTCCATAGGTGCCATTTGCCTTGGGAAGCCTGGTTCCCTATTGAAGACACCTAGGGAACCTTCAGCCAAATTACCTAGACTACCAAAGTTGCAAATTGCTGTTTCTAAGTGCTGCTAACAGCAAATCGTCTGTTCCCCCTTTATTCTTAAGTTTTAATGACACTAGTGTAAAGTCCCTTTCAGGTTGGGGGATTTCTATGGAGGGTGATAACATCAATGATGTTGTAACAGGTTGTCAGCTCCAGTGAAAGTCAAGGACTGTGGGCTGGACCAGAGAATGATAATTTGTTCTGGCCCAAGAAATGCGTTGGCATCGAGGGCTCCCAGCGAAGCTGCCTCTGTGTAGTACGTCTGGCTTTCATTTGGCAGCACAAGGCTTGAAGAAAAGGGGGAGGGGTGGCTGGCACTCAGCTCTGGAACTGGGGAGAGTGAAGGTAGCCGCAAAGCCGGCAGACTCAAATTGCTGGTGCGGAGATTTACAGAGGGGTGGGGCTGCCGGGAGGATGTGCCTGTGAGGCCGCCTGAGAGGTAGAAGAAGAGCATCCCAGGTAGGGCGAGGAGCGCCTTCCGGAAACCCTCCTCCGGCCGCGGGATTCGGATTGGCTCGCGCTGAGAGGTCGGCTAGGTCAAGACCCTCGCGCTCCTTCCCCTGACCCGCCCCGCCGCGGTCGCGTTGCTGTGGAGACGCGAGGGCGGGGGGCGGGGGCATGCCGGCCAGGCAGCAGCGTGCGAGTGGCAGCGCGGGGGCCCGAGCAGCTCCCGGCCCGGGGCGCCGGGGGCCGGATGGCGGAACCCACGCGCGCGGCGGAGCCAGGGAGGTTTGCGCTCCGCTCGTCGCGCTGCAGGGAGGGCGCGGTGCCAACCGCGAGCGCCCAGAGACCCAAAAAGAAAGCTTTTTATTTGCTGAGGATGAAGCCCCTGAAGGATCCCGCCCCCAACAACAACAACGTGTCCTTTGCGATCCACTGTCAACTGGGCAAGGAGATCAAACACATTTGCAGCAACTGCAGTCGGGGGCAGGACGCCCGGGACGGTGAGTGCCGGGGCACGTCGGGGAGCGCGGGAGGCAGGGCGGTGGCTCTGCCGGTCTTCAGTTGGGGGCACAGCCGGCGTCGCTGCCTAGAGAACTGCGGGGGGCCCCCGCCCTCCCCCAGGCGTGGCACCCGCGGGCCCGCCACTTGGCAGAGTGCTGTCCAGAGTCAGCAGACCCGCGCCCGCGTCCGCGCACCACCGGTGCATCTGCTTCCCCAAATGGAGGGCTTTCAGACAGCTACAAGAGCAACTCTAGGGTTTTCCCTTGGACAGCGAGGGTTTTGGGGGATTTGTCAGGGGGCAGCATTAGCTCCAAACGGGTGCCGCACCTAATTCTTAGGTCTCAGGGCTTCTCTTTCTCCCGCCCTTGCGCTGTGACAGGATAATAGGCTCTGCTGGGCTGCGTTACAGATGCGGCTTAGGGTGGGTTCACTTTGGCCGCTGCCACAAGGCTCTGGAGACTTGTGGAGTTGTTCAGTGATGTATGTTTAGAGTAAAACATGGCCGTGGTTATTTGGAGTGCCGCTGCTGGCCCCTCTTGGAATGGTGTCTCATCCCCAGTATATGGAAGGTGGGGGAAGGGGCGTGCAGTGGGTTCTTCCCGCGGAGCCTGTGCGAGCCAGAGCTCCTCCCCGCAAATCTGATCCGAAGTGGGCCAGCGAAGTGGTGCTGGCTGCCAGCGACTCTGGGCCAAAGGAGCCAAGACAGCTAGGCGCGGACCTGGCAGAAGCCTCTGCAGATGTGCACGCGCCTGTGTGGCGGTGCATTTCGCAGAAGCCGCCAGGCTCCTCAGAATCAGCTCTCAGAGCAGACTCAGGAGGGCTGCTGAAGGTCGCGGAAAAGTTTTAGACAGCAGATTATGCAGGGCGAGCATTTACTACTCCACAGCCTGAAGCTCATTGCCTCGCTGGACGTTTTCACCTGCTTGGCAGGCAGATTTTCCTATCAACCAGGCGGGTTTCACTCATTCCCTTTGGAAAAACAAATATTACTGAGCATACCTTAGTTCACTGTTGGCCTCTGAATGGCCCAGTAATGAAGTGACTGTGGCTTGGCTGATGTCTTTTCAAAACTGCTAGCGTAATTATACATTCTTTGATTAAACTGCTAGACAGCCCGAGCAGGAGGACGCTAGCCCTAGAAAAGGAAAGCAGGGGACCTGCCGGAGGAAGGCAGATGGGCCAGACCTAGGAGGGCTGCCTGTCGTACTTAAGGAGCACGGGAGAGGAGGGATAATTCTTTACAAGAAGCACGCACTTACTGATATGTGTCTGATTCTTACAGTTACTATAAGCTGTTGACACCTATGGAATATAAATGAATGCGGCGATCCAGAGCCAGACTCTTACCATAAAATGAAACTGAGCCTGAGATACAGGTTAACATTTTGTTACATGACTCCCTCTGTGGACTGACTGTCTTCCCAAAAGAGTTGCCTCCATAACCTTGGGGGCTTATCTAAAGTAGGATGGCTCTATGGAGCTCTGTAAGGAAAGGTCTGTGTCTACACAGGGTGTGTGTTTAGGTATGTAGACTCTCTGTGGGTGTACCCTGTCAGTGGAGGCAGGGGTATATTTGAGTCTGCAATACGTTTTTGATGTAACATGCTTTTTATCAAACACTCCAGTATGTTTCAAAGACCTACCCATATTTACCTATCACCTGAAGTAATTTTAGTATTTACAAAGATTCTTGTAAAGGAGAGACCACATGTTGTGGCACCTAATCTATGCCTGATTCTACTCTGCAAATCCTGTCTTTTGAATGTTTGGTGTACTCACTCAGGCACGGACATAGAATGAGGCCAGGAGTTTAACCCTTCTGCATGTACTACCAGAGCCCAAAGAAGCTGCCCTTTCAGTCAAAGGAAAGGAAATTCAAATTGCTTTTGCTTTATGCAAGGATTGAGTGACCTTATATGATACTTTGTCATGGGTAGATGTTCTGCTAGATAAGTTCTTTAGAAGCTATTTCAATTTGAGCCATATTTCTGTATCCTACAAGTGCCCACTATATTAGAGGAAATCTTTGGTAAAGATTATAATAATGCAAATAGATGGGTAAGGCTCAATGGAAGAGACCCGGATGGTACCCAGAACCATAAATCTATCTGTTGCTTCAATCAGGACTGAGGGGATCATTTTATGGCAATTAAGAGAAATCTGGTCTCGCAGAAAGGCCCTCACTTGGACTTTCACATAGGCAAAATTGTACGGAGGCATTGTTCAGTGAGCCTCATTTCTGATTCTTGATATATTAAAGAGTTATTTTAAACACATTAAAGCATAGTTTAATAACTTTCAGTTTGCAGACATCTGTAACTAAAAATAACTGAGATAAACTATAAATGAAAAAAATCATTTTATTTGAGCAGATATAAAAAGTGAAATTGTGTTTTAGCAGTTGTCATATTAAGAGTATTTTTTTTAAAGTTCCTGATACTGACAAACTCTTATCACCGATGATTTGCTGACTACATTTAAGTAATTTTCTAATAAAAACACACACACAAAGATTACAATTCATCATTAATAACCAAAGATGGTTTGGATTTCTTTCATCTTTGCTGTTTTGGTTCAATACTGACGATGGTTTCTCTTAAGGAAACAAGTCTATATAGCACTGCATTGCCAAAGGCCACAGAAAAAGTATAGGGTAGAAGAGATTTAAACACTTGTCTATTTATCTTTAAAATACCAAGGCACTTTCCACTGTGCCGTCAAATGGTTTCTTTTGTTTTTTCAACAAGCATTTCATCTCTGCCACCTACACTGAATGTGTAGGGAAGTTAGGTACTGAGAGATGTGTGTTTGTGTATTGGTATAAATATGTGCAGTCTCACTAAGCCAGGATAATTTATTTGGAAAAAGAATTGCACAATTATCTGTTTCATTCATTATTTTTT